AAGAAACAAAGCTTTCAGGGCTAAATAGAAGATAGATAAGAAGTATCTGGAGTAGTAAAGGGTTGAGTTGGTCTTGTGCCCTCTCTTGGGGTGCTTTAGGGGGAATACTTACAGTCTGGAGGAATGAGGAGGTGGAGTGTCATAGGAGTTGATTAGACAATTCTCATTCTCAATAAAAGCGAAAAAAAAGAGAGGTGTGAGTGATGGGAGAGAATGGGTCTAAATGAATGTTTATGGCCCTAACTCATATAGAGATAGGAATCTCTTGTGGGAGGAATTAGCTGCAATTAGGGGTCTATTGGAAGGACCTTGGTGTCTGGGGGGAGACTTAAATGTGATAAGATTTACAAGTGAAACAAGTAACCCGAACCAGACCATAACCACAAGTTCAATACCCTGGTGGAATCCTTAGAAGTTAGAACTAAAATAACCTGCCTTGCTAAATGTTTCTTTTACATGGTCCAACTTTTAGGAAAACTAAGTGAATTGGCTAAGAGTTGTGTGGCGAGAATTAACATGGGAGAACAAGATGTTCAATTGGTGGCAGGAATTCTAGGTTGAGGTTAAAAGCTGGCATCTAGAGTATCTTGGTATGCCTTTGGGGGGTAATTTGAGATCAAAAAGTGTTTGGAAACTGGTAGTAGAAAGATTTGCTAAGAACTTGGCTTTGTGAAAGAGAAGCTACATATCTATGGGAGAAATAGTCACTTCGATCAAATCCACCTTAGCCAACATACATACTCATTTTTCTTTTTGGAAAAGGTAAGGTAAATTTATTCAAACAAAAAGGAGAAAATACAACAATACCCAGGCCAAAAAGACAGCCTGAGAACAACACAGGTTACATACTCCACCAAGACTGAGACCGAAACAAGAGAGACAAATTCAGATGTTTAAATTCCTCAGTAACAGACACCCAAGAGAACAGCTTGCCTACAGCTCTCTCCACGAACTCTTCAGGACTTTTAGCTCTATTACAAAAAAATTTGTTGTTCCTTTCAGTCCAAATGGACCACAAGACAACTGCAGGAATGGTCTTCCACACTAATTTTCCTTTCTTGTTTAGGCCTTTAATTCTCCAACAGCACAGCAGCTCCTTGACCGACCTTGGCATAACCCAGCTAATGTCCATAGATTTCAGGAAATGCTCCCACACCAGGGAGGAAACCGAACAGTGAATACAGAGATGATTTGTAGGGAGGGAACCACACAGTCCACAAGAGGAGTCCAAAATTTGGATGCCACGCCTCTCAAGATTAGATCTGGGGAGACATTTATCTAGGGCCATTGGCCACACCAGAAAGTTGGATTTAGAAGGGCTTGTTGGATTCCAAATCTGAATGGCAGGGAAACTGTAGAGCCTGTGCTGCACATCTTGGAAGCTAATGACTTGACAGAAAAACAACCATCAGAATTCTATTTCCAGCACCATTCGTCTTCCAAAGTTAAGTCTATCTTCTGATTCTGTAGATTCTCCAATAGCTCCATATTCTCTTCCAGCTCCTAGTCAAATAAATTCCTCCTAAAGAGGGGGTGGGGGTGGTCCAAGTAATAGAATCTCCAGAAAAGCTATAGCTCTCAGCCACTGAAGATTCTTGTCCTATCTTTTCCTTTTCACATGTAACCTATCCCTCGAAAATGCCATTGTCTTCTTCCTTGGTACTCTTCATCCACAGAGACGCTTCAACTTCCAGTAGAGAACCCAGACCTTAAGCCAGATTCTGCGAGCAGATTTATGCATCTGGGGACTTCTTCAGGCTTCAGTCCCACAATTCTGATTCTTGCAGCGTGGGTATCTTGAAGATTATATGCTATCAGCGTTCCACCCATAGTCTGGATCAACTTTTTAAGGATTTTCTCATTCCAGAGATTAAAGGGAAGTCCCACTAGCCGAAGCATAAGAATTCCTTAAAACAACCGGATTCTGGTTACAAGACATATACAGGCCCTCTGCCCTTACCCTACCATCTAAAGATTCCACCATTTCAGCTGTGGGGAGCACAGCTTCTTCGTCAACTTCAAATAGTACAGCCTTTGAATCATCGAAGGGCTTAATGTTCACATAACCTTTTAAATTGAATCTCTTCATAACAGCTTCCAAAATCCTTCCACAATCTGTAATATTGTGGCTGCTGTTATAATTATGTTCTTCTCCCAAACTCCTTTCTCCACATCTAATAGCATCTTTTGACTTTTCGTTTTGCTACACACCGTAGCTTCTGGAGCTCCTATTTTTTTGGTTTTTCCTTCTTCGAATTCTCATTGTGTCTCTACTTGTCACAGTCCTCTGGACCATTGCATTGTTTTGGAATTTGCCTTTCCTCCACATACAACAGAAGCTCCTGTAATAAATCTGCAAACATTCTCCACCCTGTTCTCTTTTTACCCTCTGGCACACATAGCATCTGTTTTCTGTTATCACCAAATATTTCCATGATCACTACAAACCAACCTTTCACTTTTCTCCTCAACTCAACTTCAAACCTTTTCCCATCTGCTCCCACTGCACTCTTCCAACCTTGTTTTTTAATGGAGAATGTTGTCCCATCCACGAAGCCCTTCAGCCATCTAATCACCCCAGCTACGTAAATGGTGGCTCTTTTTTCTTCTCTGATCTTTAATGTTCACCTACCCTTGTTTCTACCTTCTTCGAAACAGAACTTCTTAGCTTCGATATCCACTTCTCTTCTCCATATTGCTGTTGATGAGAAAACTTCTTCGTATTCCATATTCACTTTTGGATAATGTTCTCCAAATGAAAGTTCTCTGACTTCCTTACTAAGATTTCTTGTGCTCTCAAATTCATATTTACGCTTCCACTCAGCTGCCTCAGCTTGACCACTTGTTCTTTTAGGAGTTTAGTTGGGGGCTTTTGGAACAACAAGATGTAAACACAGCCCACTGATACCATTTTATGACATAATATTAATTTATAAAATTTAATAAAACCTTGATTCTATGAGGAGGAAAACCATTTACAGCTTTGTACATGAAACTTGGATGATTATGGTTCTTCACATGAGATAAGTGCTAGAACAAAGGCCTATGGCCCACAACAGGATGGCAATGATTGTCATATGCAGAATTCTGTTCAATCTGTTTACTTTCTTTGGTTTCTCTCTCAAATGAAAGATGGAAATATAAACCAGAATATTCTACTTTGTTATTATGTTCCTTTACACTTCTAAATCAGTATCAGAAAGTTTTCTCTACCCTTGGTAGAAATGTAATTAAGAGAATATGTTTGTGATAACTTGATTGGTGCTTGCCTACATACTAAACAATGTTTTAGAAGGTGGAGGTGTGACACAAGGTGCTCTACTATCTTAAGGTGTGAGGCATAAACTAGAATGTACGAAGTGTAAACCACTTTGCATTGATTTTTTCGTTACTAAGAATTTTAAACAAACAATTAGATAAAATAAATAAACATTAGTAAGTATCCCCCCAAATAGGAAAAATTACAAGAAACTAGAAACTTTACACATTTACAATTTATAATAATAGAAATATTGCATTTAAATAAAAAAAATTAAATATCACCATATGAAGTATCATAATCCATAATTAGCTATCAATGCATCACTTGCAAAGTTGTAAATCTAAATTTTAGAATTATTAATTTACATAAATCGCATAAACAGAAACAAGTGTGCCATCTCATATTCAAATAAATGTAAAGCATTGAGAGCAATCTAAGCAATTGTGCACAGATTTCTATTTATAGTATTTTATTATAATTATTAAGATAAACAAGTTTGGAGGGTTTTCTTTCTTTACATTATGTTAATATGTGATGAGAAACATGATGAAATACTTTCTTTCTCTACGTCATAAACAGACTTCTATTTATAGGTTTTCTTTCTCTCTTTATCTTTCTCTCTTTACTGAATTTTCTTCTTTGTTTATCTTCAAAAAATATTAATCTTCTTTTGAAAAAGTATTGTATTGAAAAGAAGTGAGCAGAAAATACAAAGAGGAGACCCTTTGTACACCATGGACCTGTACAAGGAACCTATAGACTACAACATAAGCCAAACCAATTCCCCCCTTTGCAAAACAGAGCCCTAAAGAAACAAAGTTTCAATATCAAAGAACCTGTTATACCCTACAGGGTATACCCATGAATGACCTCTGAGTTGATATAACCATGAATAAAAAAATGCCTTTGAATGTGTTTAAAGCGATGCCATTTGAATTTACTTTGCCTTCAAATATCTATCAAAAAAAATTACTCCTATTGTTTATTTTATTTTATTTTATTGATCAGTAATTAAATATTGAAAATCATACAAGGGAGCCCTCTGTTAGGCTATTTAGTCTAACCCCATAGGCCCATATGTTATATATACAAATGGGCTAAAAAAACTGCTCTCTGGTCACCCCTTCTTTAGCCAAAGCATCAGCCAAGCTATTTGTCATCCTAGAAATCCATCGAACTCAGCTTCCATACTTTTAGTAATCCTCTAAATTTTCTTGATTTCCTTCCTGAAGTACCCCCATCCCCTTTTCATGATGCTTGAGCCAACTTTTATCACTAGTGAGTCACCCACTGTTACAATCCTTACCAAATTCATTTGCCTTGCTAATCTTAATGCCTGTAGCACAGCTGACAATTCTGCCCTTGTAGAATTTCCGATCCCTATAGGGCCTGAAAATGAACCTATGAGGCCACCACTTCCATTTCTAAACACACCTGTCACACTGGAAGGGCCCTGATTCCCCATACTACTGCCACCAAACTTATTTTTATAAATCCCCTATTGGCTGGGCTCAATGCACTAATCTCATAGTGTTAACCTCCATATAACTACTCTTTTCACTCCAACCAGCTGGCATGCCTTCAGAACTTGAATAATTTTGTTCAAATCACTATGTAACTGTATTTTTCTCTTTATGCAAATAATTATACTTAAATCACTAGATTGTATGTTCTGTAGTAGTTGTAAATATTGTTTCCATTTATTTTAATCTTTTGATCTGCTGTTACTGTGTTGCAGTTCTCGGAGGCGCCGTTCTCGCTTTTATGACAGTTAGAGTTTGGTACATTTCCTATGATCTTTTGTTTTGGCTTCTGTTGTTAGTATGACTATAATATAAAGAACATACTGAGGTATCAAATTACTCTTGTTAACCAGTTTTAATAAATCAAGTTATGTTGGGATCACATTAACAATTACAGCCAATGTTTTTTGGTGGTTGAACTAGTGAAATGGTGACCTGGATAGCTGGCCAGGTCCTGGGTTTTGTTAGTGCTGACTGCCAAACCTGCGAGCTGGTCAGCTTTAAAGGTTGATGAATGGTCTTGTTAATCCTTACTCAATTCTTTAAACAAAGAACACATCAGAAACATTATGTTAGTCCTTAGTTCTTTATACTACAGAATTTGTTCTGCTATGTTTGGCACATACTAGCCTAAATTGCTCAATCCTATTTTAAGGCCTGTGAACTGGTATGTTTTGTACTAATTTGCAAGCCAGTTCATGATAAGTAGGATCTAAAGCTTAGGTAGGAACCTATTATTTGGTTACTCAGCAGAATTATGCCTAATAAGTAGGATAAAAAGCTTGGCAAATTTGAGATTTTTTTGAAGAAAGGGAAAAAAGAATTCTTACGTTTTCTTGTCAAACAAAAGGTAAACTTCATCTGGACTATGAACATTGAACTTTATAATAGTGAAGAGAACAACCAATAAAAAAAAAAGTGAACAGAACCTACAAGTTGCCTTGCAAAAGAACACCATTTGTCTGTACCATAAATCCATTTTTTTAAACTTAAAATTACAAACTAAAACCTGAATTTGAACCATGTGAAATGGAGCATGTTTGTTTGTCTTAGGCTTTTGTCTTAGATGCTGTGCATACTAAACAAACAGGTACATGTCAGGCCAACGTTTAAAAGTGAGAAGGCACAAGGCAAATTTAAAAATTACAATTTCAACATGTTAATACAAAAAACGCAATTCCAATGTACAAGTTACAATTACCATTTTACTGTAACACAAAACAAATTAGATGTACCAAAATTTAAGCATAACAGTAACACATAAGCAAATCCCTTATTCTCAGCTTCTGCGTACTACAAATTAATTCATTCATAATTGAAACAACAATTAACAATGTTTTAAATTACTGAAGTGAATAAAACATTAGTATAAATTAAAAGATACAAACAAACTAAAAGTCTAGCTGGTAATGGACAGACTGACTGAAATCTTATATGTTTCCTGGTGTCAGTGTGTGCATGCCCTTCTGTTCTGCCATGCCGTGCACATTCATGTTCTAGATTTTTGCTTGCTGTTTTCCCCCATTTGCATAATTTGATCTTAATGTTATACATTTCTGTTTAGATCGAGAGATTGGGTATTAAGGCTATTAAGCTGTTTGGCCATTTCATGGGCCTTTAATTCCATTTCCACCCATAAGATAGCCTACTTTTCTACATTAGAGAGGGCTTTTCAAAATGGTAGACAGCTTCAAGTGGAGCTTCTCTTTTCTCTGATATCTCACATTTTCTCTTTTCTCCTTTTGCCAAGTCTTTCTTTACCAAGAGATTCATTACACCTTGTGGTGCATGTGCTAGTGCCACCATAACGTCTTTAGATCCTGGGGTCTGGTTGTTGTAATACCTATGCATCCAAAAGGGGGACAATTCAGATTCAAGGACAGCATTATTTGACTAGTGTTCCTCAGTTCTGCAAACAGTTCGGGTTTCCTTCTAATCTATTATTTTTCAGCAAATTTGGATGTATTACTATGTTATCAGATCTGTTTGGACATGTTAATTTCTGTTAGGTAATTTCCTCTGCAATGCTATCATCCCTACATATAGAACATGTTGAAGTTTGACCTGCCCTAGAATTCTGTCTTGTTCGTTGACTGTAAAGTAAAGTAAACAGCAAGAAGTAGGAGAGGAARGAAGAAGAAAGAAAAGAGAGAAGGGCTGGTTCGAATTTAGAGAAAAAGTTATCCCTAGATTCGGCCAGACCTATTATTATATTATTAACTTATTGGAAAAGACTTAAGTGCCCTTCTTTAAGTAAGAGGCACTCGAACTAACATAACATTTCACATCAACATTCTCACCAAGTACAAAGACCGAAATACCCCTTCACTAACACCAGTAACAGAACACATGGCAAGGTCTTTTGGATCAATTTTTTTCCATGAATCTAGAATTAGTGGAACTTGGACTTTCTTAAGCCCTAAAGTGACTTACTACAAGGGTGTTTCTTGGGGCATTTAGACTCCATTGCTAAATGACTCCACTTGCAAACCTGCTCCTATCTTATGATGCCGATATGTAGATGCTACACAGACATGTGTAAAGGGAAACCAGGATATGATTCTTTGTTTCCTAAATCCCAAACACGTATGAGTATGGTTACCTCGTAGTTTGCATAGAACATGGTTTTAAATCTAGTTTTTCAAGCAAAGAGTCATTTCCTAATCTTGCTAAATTTAATTAAATTTATGATATTGAGTTTCTATTATGTATAATCTGTTAAAATATACATTGTTTCATATTTTAGAAGTATTAATTTATTGAGTATAGTCAATCTAAAAAATTAGAATATGTCTAGGAGTATCCATGTAGTATATATCCACAGTTAGATATGTATCATGTCAAACACCGGTACACCATGCACAATGGTAAATTATCTATTCAAACATCAAAACAAAAATAAGGTTTTCATTAAATTAAAAAGCAATTTATGTGGGACTAAGAAGAATGGGTTTGGAACAAATAGGCAGGTGGTGGATGTTGAAGGACTTGACAATTAATGATGCAAGTGACACCAAGCAGAAAAAAGAGGTTTAGAACCAAAACAAATTTCTTAGATTCATTGAAGTACATTTACTGTATTTTAGAGTCTGAAGGTTGCTTATCCAAGTATCAAAGCGGACGGATTTTGATGGTAGATGGGTGAGGAGTCTCTGGAAGGCAAGGGAAATCAGTTGGGTAATGTGCCTCTCTTGGGGAATCTCAGGAAGTATAGTGACAATGTGGAATATGGAGGGAGTGGAAGAGTTGATTGGTAGGTTTACGGTGTCTATTGAGTTCTGATAGATGGTTGATTGGTTTGAGTGGGTATATATATGTGTGTGTGTGTGTGTTTGTATATATATATATGAGAGAGAGAGAGAGAGGAGTTGGAAGGTATTAGAGGACTTTGGCAAGGAACATGGTGGAGACTTTAATGTGATCTGGTTTACTGAGGAGACAAATAACTCGAGGCAAGGAAGTAATACTAGTACGAGGAAGTTCAACAATTTCATCAACAAATTTGAGCTAAAAGAGACTGTTAAATAGAGAGGAGTTGGGTAGTATAGGGCCAGCTCCCTTCAGATTTGAAAATATGTGGCTGTGTCATTTTGGGTTTGTTGAGATGGTAAAGAATTGGTGGAATGGGACTAATCCAAGGGTTAATTGGGAGGGTATGAAATTTCATTGGAAGTTGAAGGAGCTAACTAGTGCTTGTAAAAATTAATGTTGATGAATCAACAGATGACAAGCAGTTGATTCTTATAGTCTATTTGGGAGAACTTTCCTGCAGGGGCTTCCGCCAAGTGTTTTGGAACCTTAATAGATTTTCTTCTCAATCCTCACATACAAACAAAGGATCAAGTAGGTGTTCTCTTCCCTTTTATTAAGGTGGGGGTTGGTACATGTGTGACTATTGCCATTGTTATTTTTATCAATAGCAAATCAGAAACCTTAGGCTCAGTTTGGGAAGATGCAGATACAAATATGTATGGTGCAAAGCCTTGTAATTATTGATAAAAAAAAGCCTTGTAATTGGTATTTTTGAACCTTGTATTTGCACTGTACATATTTGTATTTGTACACTTCCCAAACTGAGCCTTAATTACAGAAAAGAGATAAAGAGTACAAAATTAACTCCTTCACAAGAGAAAGCGCTAGGGCACTGTTCCATACAATTAAAAAATAAAAAAAAACAAAGAGAAAATGGGCTAGACCAAAAACCCACCCAAGTTGAATAGGAAATTCTTGATAAAGGGCTGATGGACCTATTGACCAAAGGTACATGTGTACCCCCTAGATCTATCTATACCTAAGAAGGGTAGACCCCCATACAACTAAACCAGGTTTGCTCACAATGGATCTTATGACGTCTTAATTCTGGAGGCTAAAAATATATGGCATACAATGTCATATCCCCCAATCATCACTGGGGTATCTCCTTAAATTTCCACACAAGTGGCCCGTGGGGAACCTCAATCTCAGCCCTAATTAAGAGAAAACAGCTGATCTTTTCATTCCCTAAGGCTCCATTTGGTTTGTGGGATGGGGATGAGAAAAGGGGAATATTCCAAAAATATTCCTTTTTCTCTCATTTGTTTTGAGGGAAATAGAGGGATGGGATGAGAAAAATGTAGGATGTCAGATCCCAAAATCGTGGATTTGGAGTCACACCAAAACCGTGCGACCCTGGTGGGAAATTTTGAGAAATCACTATTACCATCGATGACGAACAGAGGAGGGAAAGAACCAGTGACTTCCCCGTTACCATCGGCAATCTGCTACCTCCCTTTCCCTGTTCGAACCCAGAAGCAGAGCAGCGGCGGCGGCACCCCCTCTCAGCCACTCCCTTCCTCTTTCCTCTCTTCTTTTCTTTCTTCTTCCATCTTTTGTTTTTCACCCAAAAAAATCACTGTTCATCATCTTCTCGACAACGAACATAGGAAATACCAGCGGTGGTGACCAGGATCATTTACCCTCTAGTAGCTCTCCATTCATTGTCTTCACTTTCCGCTGGTGAACTACTGTCTCTGGCGGCACTGTTCACTTTCCAATGGTGACCAGCGACACTGTTCATCGTCTTCGCTTTCTGCCGGTGAACTACTGTTCGTCTTCCTCTTGGTGAAACAGAGGACCCTACAGCGGCTTCCTCTTCGTCATAGTGCTTGTCCCATTATTTCCCCATATATAAAACCAAACAATGATTTTTACACTTTCCCATCCCATCCCATCCCATCCCACCCAAATCTTTCCACAAACCCAACGAAGCCTAATGTATCCCAATGGAACATCAGAAGGTGGTGGCCACATTAAGTAATCTTATGATATCATCAATACTGAAGTCCCTGAATTCTTATGTTGGTGTAATCCATGTTATTTACGGCCATGGTTCAAGTTATACGCTATTGGATTATTAGAGAGCCTCCTAACATCCTAGGAACTTTAAGAACTGAAAATAAGAACGAGTATCGATGGTTTTAGATGCTTGGTGCTGAAAAATTCAGTATTTGAGCAGATTGATACTTATTATTCATTTGTTATTAAACTATATTTGTAATGCTTCCGTGTCTACATCTTTGAATTTTATTTTTTATTTTTTATTTTTGTTTCTATTCAAGTTCAGTATGATACCGAACAAAACAGAACGGCAGAACAAAGATTCCTCTAGCCGACCCCATAGTTAGAAGGCTTAATTGAGTTGTTTGTCCGGTCCATCCTTGAGCGGGATACTTTTATTTTTAAACCTAAATCCCCAATCCCTGCCACCCAGAATTGTGTGTTGAAGTGTTAAATTCTAATTGTGCAGTTCTTGATACTTTTTGTATTGCATCATTAGTATTTAGCTGGCCAAGGAAAAACCTATTTTAAAGGCTTTTGAGAATTTTGTTTTTTTAAATGGTTAAATAATAGTATTTTAGTCCCCCTCCCCTGTGAAAATACGAGCCAAAGAAGTAAAATAAATACAGTATATGACTCACCCTAAAAACCCGATACGCATGTTTGTGTGCATTGGGTGTATCCATATTTTGAACTATGTATTCAAAACATTTATGACGTTTATCTGTTATCTAGCTCATGAGATCTGTTCAAGAACTTTGGTATATGTGCAAGTTTGATGTATCTTGACCTTGATTTGTTTCATTTAGCATCTTGAGTTTTTTAGCTTATGCTTTCTCTTAAATCTGCTGGCCAGGCCAAAATACACAGTTAAAGAAGGGAACAATTAGCATAAACCTCAACAGCATAGGATTAAAAGGTTAGCAATGCTATGGCAGGCAAATACAGTGACGTGGTTGGTTTCCTTCTCAGTGGCACCTACTTGTCTTCAATCTCTCCTTTTTGTGATTTGATTAGATGTGTTTACATAAATTCCAAAACTTACCTGACAGTCATATGTATGTATGTCCATTTGCCTGTTTAGATATTCTAGCAAATAGGAATTCTCTTTCATTGTGCTGTGTAAAAAAGCTAAATTTATTCCCCAACTTGCAAGCAAGATCTCCTGTGTATTTGTACTTTGCTTTTTCTTCACTCCAAATATGGCAGCTCAACTGCTCAAGGCGGTATGATGCGGCTGGGGGACAGCACGTGTTGCATGGGTACTTACTCAGGCGTAACCTACTGTTGATTTCTTATTTATTAAAAAAAAAAAAACTTGATAATTTTAGCTTGTTTTCTTCTCTAGCGAATGACCTTGTTTCTCTAGTTTTAGACTTTTAGTAACTAGACGCTTAGATTTGAAGGCCCAAATTCGGTTTGGTGCTGCCCTCAACAAACGGATAGATCAGGGATGTGAAGTGGTCGGGTTTTGTTTGGGTTTGGCCCAACCTAAACCTGACTCTTAACTCCAAAACTAATCCAACTTGACCAGGCCAAACCTGATCCAACCTGCTGGAAACATTGTACACTTGGGTAGTGTAGGGTTGTGGGAAGAATTTACCGGTAGGAGACCCAGAGTGGTTGTTTGGTCATGCATGTAAATGAATAAAAATGCAAGTTTGCTTTTTCTTTTTTTAACGTGTTTTTAGAGTGTTAAACAAACTGGGATCATTAGACATGTCGATGTTGAATTATTTGAATGCGGAAGATGATTTACATCCATACTTCGAATAGAGAAGATGAACCCTCTCTTCCTAAAATGATTTGGACTGCCAAAAATATAGAAAGTTTGTTTCCATGACCAAAAGTGTGCACTCAAACATCATACAATAGTATTGTTTATGCGAGAACAGAGATTAGTGAAACTTCAAATATATTGAAATACATAATTATTGAATAATATATATTACATCCAACTATCCAAGGTTTAAACATCAAAACTCATGCCTATGCTTACTTTTAGTTGGTTTTGACCTGTTGACAGTGGGCGTTTGTACAACAGCTATTTTTTTTTGGATAAATTTCTTAAATTACTCTTTTGGTTTGGTTAATTGATTAAGTATACTCCTACTATTTGACTATGTTTAAGTTTAACTCTATTCCTACTGTTTCAAAACATTACCATTATAGTTAAATATTAATGGAAGGGTTGAAATCTCAATTTTACCCTTCTGTTAAATCCAAATAGTTCTCTCTCTGTCTCTCTCATTCTTTCTCTTGCACAACAGTCACTGTTGTCACTGCTGCGTTCCTTTTTCCCCTTCTCTCTCTCTCTCTACTTCTCTACCTAGGTCATCATTACCATCGGACTTTCCATCTGCTCAACGCTTCCCAGATTGTCCTCCGTGATCTCCATTTTGGGTATGTTGTCGAAACCGTCACTGCTGATGAATGGAGAGAAGAGAGAGATTGCAGTGCCGGTTGAAGAAATCGTACCTGCCTTCTCCTCCACTACACAAGCCACCTGCCTTGAGGAGAAAAATGAACCAATCTCAGATCTGGGTTCATATCAGAAACAATACAAGGAGGTGACCTACAGGTTGAAGAAATTGCGGACAGCAGCAATGACGACCACCGCTGTCTCTCTGAAGTCCTTTTCAGTTTGCCATCTCTGAATCCCATAGCCGGTGAAAGGGGACTATTCATTGTCCCTTTCCTCTCGATGTGGTGACTAAACACCAGCACGACCTCAAGTAGCAGCTGCACTATCAACTCGTAGGAATCTTTGTTGTGGACAATTTGAAAAGCTGCTATCACCGAAGATATGGATGATCTGAAGAAGCTCTCAGATCTGAATGGACGACTGCCATTCTTCTGCCAGCGGGCTTTGGCGGTTGGATTTTGAGCGAAATATTGAGATTGGTGTGAACGCAGGTCAAATCCCACTCCAAATTGGCGTGAACTCTGCTGTTGGTTCTGCTTATGCATCAATGGCTTCCGTTGTTGGATCGAAGAGAGCTTGGAGTCGGGCCATGATTTGCAAGATTCGAAACCGGCAATAATCTGATGTTGACGGAGACGGTTGGAGGAAGATAGAAGATAGAAAGAGGTCAAAGGAGGAAGGGAATGAGGATAACATTGGGTTTTAAAAAAGTTTAAATGGTCACGTGGTGTCACGTGTGTATGAGTTTTGATGAAATATTAATGAATGCTAACAGTAAGAATAGAATGAGAGAGAGAGAGGACAGAGACAGTGGTGGCTACTCCAGTTCTTGCTTTTAAAAATATGGTCATTCCTGAACCACCAGATATGATAAACAATAACAGAAAGCCAAATTAAGAAATCCCTTTTGTCTTTTTTATTCTCAATAGAGGCTAGCACTAAGACAACAGTCTACAAAATTGAATTTTCCACCAAATTTAAAATGAACCCCATAGGAGATGCGAACCAGATTGCTCGTGCAAAAGGACACTGAAAGAAAAAGTGGAGAACTGATTCATTTTCAGAATTGCAAAATCAGCGTAATGATGAACCAAAAAGCCTTTAAAAGTGATAACAAAGCCTCTCAATAGCCGCCAGAGGAACAATTTATATCTAGGAAGTACTAGAAGGGCCCAACTTTTCCAAATTAAGGACAAGAGGTCAGGATTTAACGTAGGAGTACGTTGGGAAGTATGATATTGAATGGCAGACCCCATCGTAAAGGTTCCCTTATTACTAATAGTCTAGAAAGTCGGTCCCTTAATGGGTCTAGTTAATCAACAAGGTCCACCTGTGATTGAACTGCTGGTTCAAAGTGGCCATATTCCATGTCCCCATCTATTATATCTGCAAGTCATTTGAGATTGTTCCCGGGTAGGGGGACCCATAGGGGCCAACAAACCTTCAACACTATTTATCTAGGGGTTGTCCCACACTGTTATCTCCCTAGTAGACCGAACCATTCTAGATGAATGGGCAAATTTTAAAAAAAATTTCTAATCCTTTTAGGAATCGAATTCCGTATGTTTTGAAAAACTATATTTTTTTTTTGGATAGGTCTTGCATTGAACCGGGCCAAATTTGAAACCAAACAAAGAGGGAGATATATACCTAATACAAATACCATAAATGCAAATCCCAAGGTGGAAGTTCATGCCCAAATCAGTCCTAAAACTAGCCTTCACTGAAAATGGTGCAGTATATAGGTGAAGCTGATTCAACAACACATTTTTTAGCAAAACTACAACCCAACTACTTGGATAAAACTGGGGAAGGTGAGCTTAAAATTCCTATGAATTTTTTTTTTTTTTTGCAAAAATCAAAAGAAAATTGATCTCTATCGGTCATTGAAATCCTAGGTCATGATTGGAAGACAAAAGAGAACAAGAGAGAGTGGTCTTTTAGTCCGGTCACCCTCTTCTTCTTTTATCTCCTTATAGAGCACTCTCCTAGTTGAATTAGGAGATTATACAAATCTAATTTAGATCTAGACTCTATTCAGAGATAAACCTTATCCTCTTAAGAGGATAGGTGTTCCATACCCATTTCTACACCCAGATTTGACCTAGAGCACATGACAACTTAATCTTATTAATTATGGGCCTTAAGGCTCATTTCCTTCAAAGGCTTACGACCCAAGATGTTACATGGCCAACTTAGTCCTAATTTGTATGGCATGGGACCCCACAATGACCTCACATAAGTCTACATGGGTTTAAACATTTATAATTTTTACCGTTTCTCAAACAACTACTAACGTAGTAAATGGGTGAAAACGGGTTGTATCCATAGGGAAGCAAGTGAAAAATTAATATATACTTAGATCCGGACAATACAATCGAGAATTACAGAAAATAAGAAAATAAAATCTATTATTGCTGAAATTAAATGTTTTGAATTTAAACAAGACAATAAATAAAAATCAGAATTTAATAAAGTTTGAGAATCAACAAAGGAAATAAAAGAAATAAATAAAAAAATGATCCAGAATTCAGATCCGGTGGCAGTAGCTGTAGATCGACCAGACAGCTTGCAGAAACTCCTCCTGACAAGAACCGGGCGTCTGTCCTTTCTACAACCCTCGAACCCCTCGAGACACCTTAGCTTTGAACTGAACGAATTCAGATCTGCAAAACAGAGAAATGAAAAAAGAATTAAATCTAAAATATTACATAAATAAACATAACAAGAAAGAAAATAAAGAAAAGAAAAGAATGGTTGATCAGATCCAGTGGCGGTAGTTGTAGAATGGTTGAACAGCTTGCAGGAACCCCTCCTGACAAGATCTGGGCGTCCTCCCCTTCTACAACTCTTCAATTCCTCAAGAAATCTTAACCTTGTTAACTGGGTGAATTGACCAACCCCTTCTACAGGGCCCCTAGGACCCTTTTTATAGAGAAGGGTGGACACAACTGGAAATAGAGAGAAAGATGGGGGCAACAACTGGGATTTAGTAAAGTTAGGATGCCCTAGGGTTTCTAATGGATGATCAAGATGGTTTTGGGGTGATCCTATGGCTGAAAATGGAAGGAGAGGGCACCCAATATTATATAGGGCTAAGATTTGGGTGCCTAGAAATGGAGGGTGTAGATTAGAACATCTAGGGTTGAAGGGTTAAGATTAAAAGAATATGTGGTGCCCTAGATTGAATGGTTGGGATTAGGATGGAGGGAGTGGCTGAGATTTAATGGTGAGGATTAGCAGAATAGGTGGTGCCCTAGGGTTTAAAAGCTATAAAGGAGAGCCTTAAAGTGAGTGGTGGAGATTAAAAGAGGTGGAGGGTGGTGCCCTAGGGTTTGCTAAGTGTGAAAAGATCAGGTTAAAAAGGCTCTCTAGGGTTTGGTAAGGAGAGGGGAGCATGGTAATACAATAGGATGGGTCCAATTAGGTTTAGCAGATAGGAGGCGCCCTCCTGTTCTTAGTTCTTTACAAAAACACCCATTTCTCAGTTGTACTTTACACCAGCTTCCCAAAATTTGCATTTCAGCCATGAAACTTTCCAGTTTTGCACAAAATTTGTATAGAGACTCTCAAAGGCCACATAATTGATTTTAACTGGGAAAAGAGTGCACTCTGACTATTCTAAGGCCGAAAATACCCCTGAATCGATGCCCTTAAGGCATCAAAATGCAGGGTTATCACACCCCCCAACTTAAACATTACTAGTCCCTTAGAAATGCAGCCTTAAAATTATACTGAGTATAAAGATCTTTCCCATTACAAGGTCATCCCTAACAGAATTAATCAAGCATCTTGAT